ATCAGGGTTACTTAATTTGTCAGTCAAACCTGCAGAAAACTACGTTGAGTTGAAAGAGTGGGGAAAAAAGGCTGGAATGAGAGAAAAAAGACAACTTTTCTCCTTAGATTTTATAACAATGACTTTAGACACTTCTGTTGCAGGTAAAAAATTAAATTCAAGAAAAAAATTTAACCTAGGTTGAATTTCAATTCTCTTTGTCTCGGAGCCCTACTTGTGAATAATTAGGGCTAGGAGACAAAGCAAATTGATTTTCAACCTAGGTTAAAAATTATTACCTGAATTTAATTTTTACCTGCAACATTTCCACTAAAACTGACAAATGTTAGGGGTATGTTTTAGAAAATACAGGTACTCAATAGAAATAACTATATATCAAAAACAATGTTATGAATTTTAGGAATTTTATTCTGTTTTTATGAATTTTATTTAAAACCATTTCCTGCAAATGCAGAGTTGTAAATTTAAAGCAAATTAAAATCCAATATTTTGAAGCTTATCTTTGTTTAGATCACTTTGCACAAAAACAAAAGGCAAGAACAGTTGTCCTATGGAATGACTGATCTTATTCATGAGGAGAGGTGAACAACAAAGAGTATGTACTGAACTTACGTCATAACTTCTGGAGGCATTAACAACCTTTCAGTGCTAAAATATAACATCAGAAAAACAATGCATTAAGCAAAAATTTGAAAGTTTTCTAATTTGAATTAATCAACAGGACTCAAACCTCAGCTCTTTTCAAAGTTGCTTTTTGGCAACTTTAAGTCATAAAACAGTTGATGCAATAAAGTTTAGTTTCCTGAAAAAAAGGACATTTTAGGCAATATTACCTTAATCAGCTGGCTAAATGACAATAAACACAAGTTACCCATAGACAAGTCTTGCTCTGTATTTAGTAGCCAAGAGGTTCTCCTATTTGTCACAGTAACCATACAAATAACAGCACATTAAAATTGTAACCATCACATGGCTTGTTGCATTAATGCACAGGGGCTTGTGACAAGTGCAGATGCAAAGGAATTATAACTTGTGAAGATGGAGCTCTAGAAAATTGAACATTAAGACAATTGAAAAATCATGCTTACCTTTCTTTTACAATAAATAGAGCTCCAAACATCACAAGCACTGTGGTTGTAAATACTGCCAACACCTCAAATCTCTCGTAACTGTGAAGTAAGAATAATGATAACAAGAAAGCTGAAAACATGTCTCATATGATTGAGTACAAAGTTAACGTGCTTAGTTACGAATAAATTTGGTGTTAATTCAAACAACATTCCCAAGTTGACATTTTTTCTTTCTTTTGTCACCTTCCTGCTTAAGAATACATAGACCACTGAATGGGACAAGGCTATTGCACTCAAAAAAATGTACTGAAATGTTCTGGTTCTCTGACTGCTATAAACACTGTTGATTAGGTTAATCTGACAAAGATTCTTACCCAAATGAAAAGGTTGTGGATGGTTTCTGAAGTGACACCCAAAGTGATAACAGGCATGTTAAAAGACTAGAAAGTAAAAAAAAAAACAATGTTAGGCAACAAAGAAATAGAAGCGGACACTGTGAGGTAGAAAAATCATTGTTTTACAATTTATTGCTTGTCAATATCCTACCTTAGTAAATCAAACATTGTCAGGTAGCTAAACGATGTGAGTGCTAAAAGAAAACCAAAAAGGTAGTTTTTATTATATTTCAACATATTATCATTTTAAAGAGACACGCAAGGAAGTAATTACATACTTATTAGGAAAAACAAATAGTGTCATGTCACAAAGTCATGCCACTTTTTTGCAACCAATCCAAAACAGCAACAAATTTATAAGCTGTATATTTGACCAATCAGAGCATTAAGTAGCTAGTTCTTCCATGATAGCTTAAACACCACCATGGCTGAGCCAATTAAAAAACTGCATTAACCAATGATCCTGTTTTTGAATAAATGTTAATATTATCATACCTAAACTATTTGTTGATCCACTGTACACAAAAAGTCCAAAAGAACAAAGAGCATTTAAAATAATCATCCAGAAGATCTTCCATCCCTGTAAAAGAAATTACCATGGATGAGTTCTATGTACATAAACATTAGGCAGTTAGATCCAAATTTTAGCCTCAATAAGTCTACAACATATAATTAACTAGAAGAAATTCAAAATATTTGTTGTCTTGGACAAATTGATTTGAATTTACCTGTCTCTCAGCAAGAACATTCTGAAGTTCCCTTCTGACTCGCTTCACAATTGGCTGGGATCTTTGTGGAAATGGCTTTATAGCACTCTAAAAAGTAAGTTTTAAAGATAGTCTGGTTTACTGAGAAATATAAATGATTTACTATTTATGCTTAAATTTTAATCTGAATTAAAAGGAAAAATTCAGAATTTATTTTAAAAAATTACATTTTTGTTCTAAAAAAATATTTAATGAGTCTTTTTTCGTCATTCACTAGACTGTTCCTTTTCTCTAAAAAAGGAATTCATGCTCAATGAGAAACCCAAGAAGCACAGAAGAGTAATAGCATTTTATTAATTAAAGTATGAAAATGCTTAACTATCCATTTTGGTATAATTAACTTTGCTTGTAGGATGTGAAACTGCATGGAAATCATTTGAATATATCAACAAAGTTGAAATGGTAAATTGGCCACCGTTACGGTTATAAAAGCTGACGTTTCGAGCATTAGCCCTTCGTCGGAGCGTTAGCCCTTCATCAGAGGGTTAGCCCTTCGCCATTCGCTCCGACGAAGGGCTAACGCTCAAAACGTCAGCTTTTATAACCGTAACAGTGGCCAATTTACCATTTCAACTTTGTTGATATATTCAAATGATTTCCATGCAGTTTCACATCCTACAAGCAAAGTTAATTATACCAAAATGGATAGTTAAGCATTTTCATACTTTAATTAATAAAATGCTATTACTCTTCTGTGCTTCTTGGGTTTCTCATTGAGCATGGATTCCTTTTTTAGAGAAAAGGAACAGTCTAATGAATGACGAAAAAAGGCTCATTAAATATTTTGTTAGAACAAAACTGTAATTTTTTAAAATAAATTGTGAATTTTTCCTTTTAATTCAGATAAAAATTTAAGCATAAATAGTAAATCATTTACATTTCTCAGTAAACCAGACTATCTTTAAAACTTACTTTTTAGAGTGCTATAAAGCCATTTCCACAAAGATCCCAGCCAATTGTGAAGCGAGTCAGAAGGGAACTTCAGA